ACAATCCAGAGACCGCTTGACAGCAAGCGAACCAGACGTGCCAACACAGCTTCCTTCTATTCCCTCAGAAGGAACAACACCTCACCTCCGAACACTTCCCAGAGCTTGACCCTCCGATCCATGCCTCCTGTGGCCAGAAGCCGGGAACCGGGGCTGAACTGCACGGCGTTGACTTCGCCATCATGAGCATCCTGCAAGACCAGCACTGTTTCAGACCCAATCACCGTCATTCCCAAGAAAGAGCCCAGTGCGAATGGGCCCTCTGGACGCCTAGCCAAAGGCCAAACGTTCACCCTTAAAGAGTTGGTGGGGCCTATCATTAACTTGCCTGGGTTCATAGCCCAGGCTCCCCCAAGGTTTTACTGTCATTTGATTCTGATAGCTATAGTTCCATTTATTTAAATACAGTGCAACCTTCTTAAAGAGGATTCAAAACCTGTGTAAACTGACAGCCTAAAGTCTGTCTTTGAGTTAATTTAAAGAGTAAGAAATTTCAATCTACAGTTTTATATGATCTTAATAGCTTAAAAGTAAGCCTCTGATTAACCGCCTCTCATTTGGCCCAGATACATTAATACTACATATCGAATGTGGCTTCTCACGGTAAAGGAAGTTTTTATGGCTTTCCCAACAGGAGTATAGCCTAATATGGAGTCCTGCTGAGTACATGCTGGTCCTCTTGCTACACAGCGGTTACAGTGGGCGTCTATGTAGCTCTCTCTGAAAACAATGAGGCACTAGCGTGGATGATGTGAACTCTGCCAAGTTTAACTTCCAGAAGCCTCAGTCTGCCATCTATAATGAAGGACTTCCAGGGTTTTGTGCCTAGGACTGTGCCTGACTGTGAGGCCTTCAATAAAAGTTAATAGGTGTTATTTTGGACGAACTGAAAATCTTGATAGGGAAATTTCTGAGACTGGCACCCACCCTGGCACACATGATCTGAAAAGATGGCATGTAGCCAGGATAAGGGAAACCGAGTAAAAAGCATCCCACCTAGAATAATGGAGAACACTAGGTGTCACTATAAGCTCCCCTCTTTAAGCCTATGGATCCTGAAATATTTATGGATGAAATACAATGTCTGAGATTTTGCTCCAACAAAAGTGTGCAGGGGACAGATAGGAAGATTGGCAAACGTGGCTAACTGAAGCTGTCTCGTGGGATGACGGCACGCGAAAGTTCTTTTATTCTCTTCTATGTTTGAAAATTTCCATAAGAAGAAGTAGTAAAAGACCATGAAAAACACGGGTTATAAATATAACACTGACAGCACGATGCTACCTACTGGCATATAAACATCACTTAGTTATATTTTTGCTTGATCTGACTGCCCACCCATCCTGTGTGTCCTGATGCTGAAAAACTGGACGACAGGAGACCAAACATTTCAGCTCCATGCAATCTCCTTCCTTTTTTGATGTTTTTCCACTAAAGAGGTCTCAGATTGAAAACTTGAGATCATGCACCGTCACACCCACGGCTGCCGCTCGTCAGACTCCTGAAAGATAGTTCTGTCGGATCGTTGTCAGCTGTGAACCATTCATTCTCAGAAACACACACTGACAGAATCCCAAATTATCAGCTGCTCCATTATCCCGTACACATGACTTAAATGTGACAGGAGCAAACGATGGGCTGCTGGGAGTTGAGGGCGAGGAAGGGACTGTGACATCAAGTGCGATCAGACCTTTTACCAATCATCATCGACCTCCGTGAGGGGCCCAGGCCTCCCGGGGAATGGGAAGGGACTTTAGTGGTCCTCAGTCCAACTCCTCACCCAGAGTGGGACTCTCTATACAATATCTGTGGTGGCTGATCGCTCAGCCAGTTCATCGTGTGCAAAGTATCTAGTTAGTAAAGTTCCTCCTTATGCCTGGAATGGAAAGCGCCCCCACAGAAATTCCACCCCATCTTTATAGCGAGTCCGTCTCTCCCCCGAAAGCTGGCTCCTCTAACTCATCCCACACAACCCAGGAGCCGGCCAACGCCCTGGGCCCTGCTCGGAAGGCTCTGCCACCCCGCCCCTGGTTTGGCGGCCCTGAGCCAGCGACTCCACACTCCCCAGGCCTGTCCAAGTCCCACTCAATCACTCGACTCTCCCTTTGTACTAGGACTGAGCTCTGCTCCGGCTGACAGCCCTGACATCAGTGGCTTCTGCCCAGGACTGTCTCCTGCTTTCAATACGTGCTCCTACTGATCAGAAGCCACACAGATTCGGGTAAAAATCATAAAGCCAACAGCTGCCCTACTGACCCTTCAAAAAAGACCACTGACTGGGCTCTCACTCTAAACTGGCGCCAACTAGTGACAGCAACTGCATGAATTATCATCTAATTTCTCACCGCCCCTCACGCTACCAGTTCTCTCTCTCAGCTAGTCCTGTATTCCCGGGGACAGTTGTAATATATTCTGTCTTCTGAAGCTAAGCAGAATATACCAATCCCTTTCATCCGACAAACACGCCAGGTGTAAAGGTCAGATATAAATACAACAAAAAGCTTAGCTGTGGCAGGAGAAAGGACCCTTTAATTGTCAGGCTGTTACCATACGAAGCTTGGTGGGAGTTTGGGGGTAAACCATACTTACGAAGGCACACAGTGCAGTTGTTGGCACCCTCACTTCTTTACCACTAGAACCAGGGTGAGTGTCCGCACTGTCCTGGGGAACTGGCAGGGAAGAGACAGAGCGCCTCCTAAGAAGTAACAGAAAGGAGAACGTTGGACAGGACTGCACGAGGCTTACTGTCCATTCAGCTCAGAATGGATTCAAAGACATCTTATGTCAATAGCTTCTTTGCCCTTCTAGACCCTTCAAACTACAGAATGATTCACCACATCAGAAGCATCCTCACTCATATGACTGGAAAGATAGCACACATTGGCACTCTCCTGCTTGCTAACTCATGGACTCCAAAAACAACAATAAAAAGCAATCCTGGACAACACCTGCTTCCCTAGTCAATAGACCGCAGGAAAACTGGCTCAATGTAATGTACCTGCTAGCTCAGATGAAGCTCGTTGGCATTTTTGTAAAACAATTTAAAAAGTTTCTATGCCTACAATGTTTCATCCTCAGCGTACACTGCGGTCAAGGCGGAGTCTGAGGCATGCCAAGAAAGAGCAATGAGAGCGTGACTACTGCACAAAGAGCTCAACCCATCACCCCACTCAGAGGGCCAGCGGCATTGCTTGGACATGCAAAGCGTCCTTGTTAGCACATGGACATCTGACGACTGAGGGCAGTGAAGCGGTGATCAGCTTAATTGTCAACGACCCACACTCACATGCTGGGATAAGAGTGGATAATATTTTCACCTGGCAGCATCAGAAGAAGAGTGATGTCCCAAAAGGGGAGACTCGGACAGACTAAAGGGCAAGGCCAGAGATCAGCAGGCAGCGAGATTGAGAAAAGAAGTTGAAGAAAAAAGGAAGAAGCTAAATGAAAAGCTGAAATTAAAGCATCTGTATACTCTGCACCACTGAAATTCTGGTGTGCGTTTAAAAAATGGTAATAAATCAGGTACATACACGTAGGTATATTTACATACACATCAACAAGGAAAGGTGAAAGTTTTCTAACCTACCCAAAGATATTAGTGATAGAATCCAGAAGGCCTCCAGCAGGCTGCGAGAGTCGCTTACTAAAGAGGAGGGGAGGATAGGTTTAAACCTTAGAAACATTTTGCCCAAATAATCAATCAATAAACACAGTTCACAAAAAAAAAAAAAAAAAAAGGTACCTGGGATTATGTTTCCCATCAAGTTCCCAAACCCCAGCGGAGAAACCCGTCACAGGAGGAACCACCAGATGACAGTGGGGAGGTAGGACAGAAACCCAGCCTTGAAGTTTTAAAAGAAATGAGGTTCCCTAGCATTAAATTAACCTTCCTGGAAATAATGCTTTAGACAATGAAACTGTCTAACTGGCCTAATAACTTCTGGCTGTTAATAACTAATTCCTATTCTTTTAGTCCGGCTTTGGCAAATAAAAAAATCCTGGAGCCCAAGTAAGAATTAAAGGGCATGAGTTAAGCGATCGCCCAGCCTAACACAGTTTAACTGTCCAGCTTTCAGGAAACCACTACACGTTTTTCTGCTTCCCTTCACAGCTGGTGGCAGCACTCTGGGACGGCTCGCCACCCGTTAAGTAGAAGTGCAAGCCAGGGACACCTGGGCCCACTGGTCTCCGTGGCTGTGCGAGAGCGGCTGGTGTTCCAGCAAGGGGGACTGGGTGCGTCCGGCTGTTCTTCTGTCAGGGCCACGGGTGAGCTCCTTTCCTGGCCAGATCTGTCTACTTACGTGGCCGCTCTGCTGATGGCTCGCATGGGTGAGGTCTCCTCGGTGTGCTCAGTGGTTTCATCCACAATGACTTCAATGTCATCGTCCCTGGAAAGAAGGGCGACAGGCCGAGTCTTTGATTCTGTTCAACACCAGCTTTGTGATGAGTCTGTTCTGCAAATGCCAACACCATTTCCAGGTCACACACAACCTATGTGACTTTGCTACGACTGCAATGATTAGGGGTTCTATGAAGAAAACTGCCATGAGCAGGACTGAAAGAAACACTCGACCTGTTCAAATCAAATCCAGGACTGCAACTGAAAATAACTTTAAATGAGAGCTTTTGATCTTTTTAGATCTAAACACAGTTCCCACTTGGAAAGCAATGAAACGATGTTTATTACGTCGATAACCACATAACCAGTACCAAGGTAGATTCTTTCCATCAAGAGTCTCGTTGGTGGCTGAAGGGCTTGTGCCCTCAAACAACTGGACTGTGCTTGCCAGTGAACAGTTCCCATGAGACAGGCTGAGCACAGAGACTAGTCAGGGACAGCTATGAAGGACAAGGAAATGACTGTGCAAGAAGACCCAAGTGAATAAGAAAAGGGACCGCTAGAAGGACAACGAAATCAACAGCTGCATTACCAACCCATTTTAAATATCACTTTAATAATAAACAGAAAAGCAAAGTCTAAACACAACTCATTTTTTACTCTGGGTATTCTATGTTTAAAGGTTAAACACTTGCTGCTTCTGACATCTGAGCAGTCCATCACATTTCACTCAAAAACGATCAAGTCCTTTGCCACAGTTTATCCCAACGGATGCAAAGCACCTCTGGAATTCTTTCCTCCCTGGTTTCCTGGTGGGGGAGGGGCAAGCAATTATTTTGGTCTTAATGACCTCCTACCGGGTCACAATCTTCATGGTGAAGTGAAATAATAAAATGTAAGACAGTATCGCCTGGATTTTGGATTTTTTGGATTTGTAAGAACCTAAAAGCAAGACTTTCCCATGGTTACCTGGATTAAGTAAATATATACTTAAGAACTTGTTACCAAGCAAGTTAGACCAAGTCAAAGTCAATTTACTTTCCTTGGCTACTGATTCTTGGATTTCATGTAACTGCACTCAGTCTTGGCCAGGTTGCCGAGGAAAACAAAGGCAGGCCCGAAGAATGAGGACAAGGCTGGGCTCTCTTTTCTTGGTTGTGGTTTGGGAGGGTCACTTTTGTTCATACAAGAGTGACAATAGAACCGCACAGATGGCAGGAGTGGTACACGTGAGCTAAGCCTATGTAAATGCTTTCAGGCAGAATTTTATAGCCAGAAAGGTACTTGGAACTGTGCAAAGGCCCAGGGCCACAAGAAAACACTAGGGTTTGGTTACTGGGTATCAAAACCCTTCAAAAGTATAAATGTCCTTTCCTGCCGAAACTCCTGTCCTAGGAAAGCAGAGATTCAGAAACAGGCTTTTACAGTCAGACCCTCAGGTGTGTACAGCTCAGCCCTCCTGTGTGAGCTTGGACAGCATGTTCGCTCTATCCAAACCGTATTTCACCTGGTCACCTGTCTACACTGGTAAACAGGAGGCGGACGAATGACGCTTTGTAAGCTGTTATTTTTAAGGAATCAAATCTAATTTCCAGATCAATTATTTATTTACTTTGTAGTTTTAGGAATATATATGTGAGATTCATTTTCCACATCTGAGAGTATAGAAGAAGTCTACATACTCTACATCTAAAGCAAAGGCTTGATATGAGAATCTTTTTGTTTTCTTATAAATTCAGACCTTTCTTTCCCTGGAGGATGACACCTAACTGAATTGAAAGCACTTCTCTCCATCTACCTGGAAGCAACCATTTTAAAAACCAGTGGATCGTAATTCTAACGTATTTCAGAATATATTTCAATAGAAAAGAAAAACATCCTGAAGCACACGTAAAGGGGATTTGGTCATTAAAATATCTGCCATTCTCAAAACAAAGCTTCAAATCTTGGGGAAGCTCCTCCACCCCAACCCCAGGTTAGGAAAAGCTTCAAACCGATTCAGTTCCTTTTGTTTCACGGGATCCTAGCCTTCATTTATCCTTTAAACGTTCGCCCAAACCTCCACTTAAAAGTCACAGACCAAGAAGAGAGCAAGAGAAAGAACCCAAACCCAGCGTTACACTGCCACAGCCCCAGTTAGGGGCAGAAAACGGACCGAAGAGTCAACAGGAAAACAGGGAGGTTGTCACTTGCGGGGGCCAGAAGTTAACTCACACTCACAGCTGATGAGGAGTGTCAACAGGAACCACTTTCTGGAAGGTAATGGGTTTTTCAATTTCCTCCCTTACATCTTTTAGTTTTGACGATCTATAAAATCGTTTATAGAAATTTAAAACGAGTGAATCACATTATTAAGGGCACAATTTTGACTGGCGCGTGTCTACTTACTGCTCCACTGGTAGAGGCTCCTTTGCTGCTTCCGCGAGCTCCTTCTGCAGCCGCGCCTGCCGCCGCCTATTGAAAAAAAAAACCAAGCCCACTAGTTATGGCTGCTCAGAAAACATGGGGCTGTGGCTCTCGATAAACCGGCTCTAATAACACACCTGAGTAGTCAGTGCATTCAAAATAATGACTGCCCTGGGCCACACTGGCAAGGTCAGTCGGGACCCCCACTATAAAGGACCTCGGAGCGAAGCCAGGAAGAAAGATTATGTTATTAGAGAAAGCAGTGAGCCAGAGAGGGAGGAGCCTGCCTGTCGGGAGCCAGGGCCTCTCAGGACAGAAAGGCCATCAAGCATGGCCCGGTCAGTTTCCTGCAGCAAATAGACTCTGAAATACCAAGAGCACGGATGAGAGTCAAGATTTACTCAGCACTTACCTGTGCTTCAGTTTTACTATTTTACAGGTTTTAACTTAATCCCCATAACGATGCTTTGAGGTTAAGAGCTGTTATACCCATTTTACAGACGAGGCAACTGATACACAGTGAGATTCTCAAAACGGTCAAAACGTACATGGTTTCAATTCGCTGGGGCTGTGGTCAACAGCCACATCCACTCTGTGAACTACTTTTGTCTCTCCCTCCCAGGTCCTAAACACAGGAGCGCCCTAATTTCTGACTGTGGCCTCGTTCTCTTTTCTGTGGTGCCTGCCCTGTATGGGGTCCCAGTCTAGAACACCAGCATCGCTACTGCGCCCCAGTCAAGATTTCTGCTTGATGTTTTTAAGCTTCCTACCATAGTGATGATTCTCAAGATGGAAAAAAAATCCCTCCAGATGGCTTATCAGAATTGTGGGAAGAGGTATATTACGACATTAATTTCATACCTGGAAGATGAAAAGTTTTACGGGACAAATGACGAAACATCCAGTTTAACAGATTTTCCTTAGCAGGAATACACACCCTATGAACTGTCTTTGAGAGAAAAGCAGTGACTCGGTGTGGGGTGTGTGACACTCCTCTACAGGAAAGGCGCCGTTCAGCCGGGGGCATAAAGGACAGACCAAGGGTCACAGGGAGAAGGAAACATCTGCGCGTGGCCGAAGGAAATGGCCTTCTTACTAGTTCAAATGTTCCACAGTGGCCATGGGGCTGGACTGTGGGGGACACGTCTCAGCCTAGTGAGGGAGGCAGGATGTGAATGGCTGTTTCGAAACAGTATGTCACGCTGTGACCCAGGTCCGCGAAAGCGGCTAGGAGGAGGACATGTGATGTGGAGGGCTGGCAGGAAGGGGGAAAGACTGAGGAAGAACTATGAAGTAATGAAGAGAACCCCCAGGCCCCTCATAGGTGGATCAGGTGACAACATATCTACTGCGCATCCGCAGGACATTCCAGGGGAAGGAACGGGGCAGAGCCGCGGTATGCCGCACACCCCACTGTCTTCAGAAAGTCTGGCCTCCTCTGCTTATGTCCTGTGAGGCTCCAGGACTCAAACACACGGCGGCCGGCCGCCTCTCCCTCCAGCAGGTGTCAGGAGGCAGCCTGCTGACCTCCAGTAACCCTGGTGTCCTCGTCACCCTTAAGCTGCCTAATGGCTCTGTGGCATAAGTCACACTATTTTACTTAAAGTAAAGGCAGGACAGCAAGAATTAAAAAAAAAAAAAAAAGTCATATTTTTCTTAATAAGGTAGAAATTTCAGAAAATTAGAAAACATAAAAAAGCAAAAAAACAAAAACAAAACAAAAACAGAAACCAAATCTCACCACCCACAAATCAATACTATTAACTATCGAATTTCTTCTAATTCATTCAAAATGTGGATCATGCTGTTTAAAAGAATTCCTGCTATTTTCAGTTACATTAATTTTATGCATTTTTCTCACATCACTAGGTATTCTTAAAACATTTTTAAATGACTTTGTAAAAATTCTACTACACAAAAATACCACAATTTATCCCTCAAGGAATATACTGCTTCCCATTTTTCACTGCTATGAATAATGTGCTATCACAGCACAGTATTTGTGAACACGACTCATAACTTCCTTAAGATGAAGTCCAACAAGTGGTAACCGTGTTCCGGCTTCCGGTCACCCCCACGTGCCCTTCAGGAGGTCGCAGAAATGGGCCTTCCACTGGTACCCTTTCTGCCAGATTCACTGACCACATCAACTTCTTTGATGAACTCCTCAGGCTTTACGCCCGTCTTGAGTGCTCACCTATTCCTTACTGACTCTATATTACAAATATTTATAATAGCACATTCTAGTTGATTATTTTAGTGTTTTTTGATGTTAAGAAATCTAGAATCTTTATCCAGTCCGTCATTTATTTCCTTTCCTTCTAATGTTCAGAGTCCTCCAGTACTCCCATTTGGGAATTTTTCATAAAATAAACAGCACTTTATTGTTTTACTTCTACCTAATGGTTTTAATTTTTATGCAGATTTTGAAATCTATCTGAAGATAATATTTGGTAAGGTTACTGCTCCTTATTATTAAGACTCTTTTGTTTTCATTTCCTCATTCTTTTAGATTAGCTGCAATCATCTTTTCAAATTCTAAACTACTGACGTGGGGATTTAAAATCATGTTCTAATCTGTTGAACTCTCATTACTAGTTTCTCAGTTGATCTTCTTAGGTTTTCTGGGTAGATAATCACAACCCCACCCCTTACTAGCAACCCTGCATCGGGGTCCTAGGCTGCGGGATGGCCACAGTCACTCAGAGTGGACAGAGAGTCCTTCCTTCTTTTGTTTCTGGTTTTGAAGGGCGTGCACACAGGACGGTGGACCCCCACCACCAATGTGTCGGACTCTGCGGGATTTTCAACACACAAATTCCCCTCCACGGGGACTCTGACTCCCACTGTTAGGGTGGGAGGCTTCCCTGTTGTAAGACTGCAATGAACAAAAAAAAAAAGTACCAACGAATTTGATTGAGGAGTTTCACATCTATATGCACTTGAGGGTGGACTACAGCTTCTTGTATCAGAACTTCTGACATGTCTGAACAATTTTTCAAAACTAGGGGTGCCTGGGAGGAATTTCAATCTTTTTCTAAGTCTGGTTTAAATTATACTGTTCAAGAATTAGCTTTTCTCCTTGAAACGCTGAAAGAATTCACTGGCAAAAAACCAGTATGGGCCAAAGTTGTTTGGGGAGGTAATCCTCTGCTCGGCGGCAAAAGTAATCTTATAAACGCAAATCTCTTTATGGCCACCATCGCTATTCCTACTTTTGTCAGTGTTTTCTGTTTTTCCCCGACTCCGAGGTTAGAGCTGCCAGGTTGGCTTCTTCCTTTTCAAAGACCTGGATTCTACTTTACGGAAAAAGGAGACCACCCGCGGTGGCGTGCTCTCCCACCTTGAATCCTTCTCATTCTCGGCGTTGAGGCGATTGGCTTCCTGGGCTTTCTCGGCCATCCACCTGGTGACCAGCTCCTGGTTCTCCTCTGAAGTTTTCCTCAGTTTCTCCTCCAAGGCAGTGAAAGTGATCTGCAGGGCATCATATTCGTCCTTCAGGGTCTGGTTGGCTCTCTCGAGGTCCTGCAGCTTACTGCGGAGCTCCTGGCACTCCGTCTCCAGGTCAGAGATGGTCTGCAGGCATTCTGCGATTCTGAAAGCATGACACACGGGCGGGAGTGGTGCCGCACGGAAGCCCTGCACCGCGGCCAGGGCGCCTGGCTGAGGGCTCGACCTGTAGGAGCTCAGGCACCAACAGCGGCCTTGGCCATTACACCGGGCACCATGGGGACATGTCCCGTTTATCACACGTCTGAACCCAGCCCTAGTGTTTATAGGATGACCCCTTGCGAGAGGAAGCACCCAGGGAGAATTTCATCTGGACTACAAATGACTTCAAAGCACTTTTCAGAAAAGCGGGATGTGAAGAAGGGGGAGCTTTCGGGGCTTAATAGAGTGGTTGGCGGGGGTTCAAAAGGAGGCTGGATGTCCCGTGTAGCCCAGCAGCTCTACCCTTCACTGAGCAGATGCCCGAGTGCGTCCTCCACCTTTCCGAGTCTCTGCAGAGACCCTCTCTGCATGTTAAGGGAAAAGGCATGGACGTGAGTCAGGCTGCCCTCCAGCCCTGAGATTGGAGCTGCTCTTCACCTTGTCCACCAGGCTTCTCCCCGATCAAAACTAATCCTGCCCACAAGGGCCACACACTCGATATCCTGGCCCTATCTCCGCCATAGAAGATACCAGCTCCCATGCGCAGTGAATGCCTCAGAGACACTTGCAAGGGCCAAGGTTATGCTGGGGAACCTGGAAGCCTCAGGGCACTGTTCTGGCCTTTTCCATCCTTAGAGCAGGTAGAAAACGATCCCAGGGTATGCGTGCGAAGAAATGAAAACTTTTGCTGAGCACAGTGTGGCTACCATTTGCCACTGACTGCCACCGGCCCCGCTCACAAGAGCACAGTAAATAAAGAGGAGTGTGGTCCCACAGCCAGTCCCGAGAGGGAGTTTGCTCTACTCACTTTGCTTCGTTCATCTGCATCTCCCTGTCCTTCTGCTGCATTTGGTTATTCAGGTCGATCACCAACTGAGCTAACTGGGGGGTAAAGAAGAACACTTTCATAAATAAGACATTTCAGGACCTCAGTTGAAAACTAAGTCATGGTGGGTTATTTTATTTTTAAGAAAGAAAAGGTGCCTGTGGGGTTGGGCCAAGGCAAGAAGAAATGAGCCAGGTGGCAGAGAGCTGCCACAGGGCCCATGGGAATGCTCAGGGGGACAGCGTGTGCTGGCCCCTGTTGAAGTCAGCCCTGGATGGATGAGTTCCAGGTGACTGC